TGCAGCAACCGTTCAGAGTACAGTGTTTGGACAATTGGCAGCTGAAGCACTACCAAAGAGCCTCAACTGTGTAATAGTCAAGCTCACAGCTCATTGGCTTAAAAAGCTGACCCTTCAAGAACTTGCAAATGAGAGGAGAAACTCTCCTAGACTTGTGGATAACAATCTCTACCACTTTTGCATATTTTCAGATAATATCCTGGCTACCTCTGTAGTGGTAAATTCTACAGTTTCCAATGCTGATCATCCAACACAGATTGTCTTCCATATTGTCACAAATGGAGTCAGCTATGGAGCTATGCAGGCTTGGTTCCTTACCAATGGCTTCAAGGGGTCCACTATAGAAGTGCAGAACATAGAGGAGTTTTCTTGGCTGAATGTTTCTTATTCTCCTATAGTAAAACAGCTGCGCAATGCAGATTCACAAGCCTACTATTTCAGAGAAAATCAAGACTTGAAGGTTGAGCCCAAGCTGCAGAACCCAAAGCATCTATCCTTGCTTAATCATCTTCGGTTTTACATCCCAGAGATATATCCACAGCTTGAGAAGATAGTGTTTCTTGATGATGATGTTGTTGTCCAGAAAGATCTGACACCACTTTTTTCATTGGATCTTCATGGAAATGTAAATGGAGCAGTGGAAACTTGTCTTGAAGCATTCCATCGATATTACAAATATCTCAATTTCTCAAATCCAATTATCAGCTCGAAGATTGATCCTCAAGCATGTGGATGGGCATTTGGCATGAATGCTTTTGATCTGATTGCTTGGAAGAAAGCAAATGTGACTGCATGGTATCATTACTGGCAGGAGCAAAATGCTGATAGAACACTGTGGAAACTGGGAACTCTTCCTGCTGGCCTTCTTGCTTTTTATGGACTAACAGAACCACTTGATCGGAGATGGCATGTGTTAGGATTAGGTTATGATCTGAACATTGACAACCGTCTGATTGAGAGTGCTGCTGTTGTTCACTTCAATGGAAACATGAAGCCATGGCTAAAATTGGCTATTGGAAGGTATAAGCCTTTATGGGAAAGGTACATAAATCAGAGCCACCCATATCTCCAATATTGTATCACAAGTTAGAATGGCATATAGATGATCTAATGAGAGCTTCATTACTCTTAGACACTGTCACAAGTTAAAATGGGCTACTTCTTGATTAGCAGTGAATTAAGGGCACTTCTAAATTTTAAACCCACAACCTCTGCTTGCTCCTGTAGACTGTAGAGTCAAAAGTAGGAGATTTTGAGTTTGCTAGGAGATTTTATCTTCTTCTTTACCTTTGATAATTTAAATTTATTTCCTTTACATCATAGTGTCTTTGAAAGGAAAAGATGATTTTTATACAAAAGGAAATTTATATCTACTAGGTGAAGTAATGGGAGGAATTCATTTTTTGGCAAATGGAGTTATCTTATCCACTCATGCAGACTGTAGAATTCTTTGTTCTTTGATCAATTTTTGTAATAATCTCTAAAATCTTTTCAGCTTATGTATTGCACTTGCACCCATGTAATTTTCTTACCCTTGTTGCTTTGGATATTTGAAGACCGCGCACACTTTTCTGAATCATATATATACCTTGTTATCGGTTGGTTACCCTTAAACCATTTACCATTCTACTTTTGCGCATCGGTGTTTGCTTGAGATGCTTTCTTTCTGATCACATCTCCTTGTATTGTTTGACCGCAATTTCCATTTTTGCAGTGAACTCAACCCATGGTTCAGATGAGATCTAATTGATTGCATGATAGACTGTTGAAATGTGAGATTTGTGTATTGCTTGATTGCTTCAAAGGGCTTAAGTGAAATAATAAAAAGGGCTAAACTGAGCCTATGCAGGGTTCATGTAATTGATTCCCTCACATAATATTAGTAATGGAGTATAAGAGACTTAAATCTATCATCAAAAGATCCAATGCAAATGCCAATGGATTAAGTAGGTCAATGAAAATTTCTTTTCGATAGAAGTGGGAGATTATAAATTTGAACTGTATAACATATGAATAAAATAAGTTAAAAATAAAAAATAATTGTCTCATTATATAATTCATTTAAAAAAAAATCTAATTTAGAGAATGCCTGTTAGAATCTCTATGGATTCTCTTAGACTGAAAAATTGAATCCTTAAAATTGCTATAAAGTAATGTCAATTTTCTCTGCAATTAAATCAAGACTGAAATGCTTCAAAATGGCAATCCTTTGTCTTGTGGGGCAGGGCAGCTACCCTTCCCTTCCTCCGTCTTGTTTGTCTTTCCCTTTTAACTCAGTGATACTTGGCAGCCTCATAATCACTTGTTGAAATCCAATAATTTTTCATAAAGGCCATTTTATTACAAAAACTAACAAAAATTGTACAACATTAAAACATAAAGAGAAACATCAGATCAGCAACAAAAAGTCAACCATTTAGAACAAATAATTGGAAAATGACACTTAAACTTTTTCAAAAGCAGAAGTATGATGATATATAATTATCTTAGGTAGTAGGAACAACCAAATTTGATTATCTAGGAGGGAATTGGAATTATATGTGTATATGGTCTTTATTTGATATATTTATTAGTGGAACAGTCAAAGGCAAAGTTGTTGGAGAGTGGAAACAACAAATCATGCACAAGACTAGAACAATAACAGATTCTTTCCTCTAGTGGCACATGAAAGTGATATTGTGACAAAGGTGCAATTATTAAATTATATCATAAAAAAAAGGTTTAATTATTGGAGACAACTAGACTAGAATAAATCTTTTATTAAACTACCCTATCGTTTGGGAAAATATTAAATAATTTTAGGTAAAAATTGATGGTTCTCCACAAAAAATAATAAAACCTCTTATATTTCTACTTTGTATTTTCTTTTTGTTTTCCCCTCCATTCCCCACATTATGTTTTTGTTGAGACAATTATAACCCAAAACTTAAATTGATTATAAAACTCATAAAAATCCAATCTTTAAAACCTTAATTAAAAATCTAATTTTTAGATGAATGACGCTTAAATTGTTAAAATTATACCAAGTACACTTCCCAATAAATCTGTAAGTACAAATGCCACTCAATCACCGAACCCTCACTCTATATTTATAGCATATTTAGATTAACTTATAAAAACTTTTACTTTTTCTTATATTATAATAAATTAAAATTTTTATTGCCCTAAGTACTGACACTAAGTCTTTAATGCAGCAAATATTTCTCTCTCCTAGTGTCAAGATTTGAAAATAAGACCTGTAGGTTTTGGAAACCTATTCAAGACCGGGGGATGGAGGCGGTGGTTTTTATATTGATCCATTGGTCCTTGCACTCTTCCCTATCTATATTTAATTTGAATAAAAATTTATTTATATACAAATTTTATATATTATATTTATATAAAATTTTAATAATTTATTTTTTATTTTTAATAATTAAAATTTATTTATATTTATTAAAAATATTTATTTTTTTATTTAAAAAGTCACAATAAAATACAATCATTAAAAATGAAGAGACAAATTATTAAAATTTTATATAAGTATGTTGTTTAAGAATTTTGTGTAAGAGAATCCTTCCTCATTTATTTTTAGCTAATTAACTCCACTTAATCACTTGCTTTCATTATTTTGTCCGAATTATTCTTCAATTAACATTAGGTTTTTAAACTTTTAAACCTAGTGGACAACTTTTATTTTTTACATATAGATTAAATAAATGGTAAAAATGTGCAATTAATTCACAATTATC